TTTTTACAATTCTCTGTCTGTATTGTGTGTTTTTAAATAATTCTTAACAATCATACAGACTTAATAGGCTTCTTTTGTGACCAATTCATTGTCACAGCCAAAAGACAGCTTAACATTATATACAAACAGACAATTGTTGTAATGGAGTTGTTAGGGTTGCTGGGGATTATGGTGAAGAAAATAAAATCTTTTTTTTAATCTCAACTAACTAATTCTGTCTGTCGCCTGACATTAAATAAAGGAATTTACTGAAGCTTATTGGGAGTGTGCAGTTTGTAGGTTCAATATAAGGCATTGGGTATAAACAGGGGACGATGACTATGTACTCCAACCACTAGATGGAAGCCATCTTATTAAGTGTCCATGTACAATCTAATAATCTCCAGCCACAGCGAATCACAGTGATAAAAAGCAGTGAAGTGATTAAACAGTCAAACAGGGCAAAGGAGAAGAGAAAGGAAGTCAGAGAGACTGTACACACACAGTGAGACAAGAGAGTGTTCCAGTTTGATTCATCCGTCAGTCAGGTCAGGGATTATGGGAATGCTGAGGATGTCAGTGGCCTTTCTTCTTCACCTGGCTGCCTCTCTAGCGGTAAGACACTCCAAATATTCCTCACTATATAATAAACACTATGCCATAAGGAGTTTGATTTATTTCATATTCCATGTATATTGTTGGGTTATGTGCACAGGTTTTGAGACAGACGAGTCTTTGAGAGTTTAGCCCCCAAAACAAGAAGTGATATTGATGTGATATAAAGAAGCAGCGATATCTTTCCTGAAGCAGTGTCCCTGCTACACGGGACACTCCACAGACTTCACTGTGGACAGTTTCTATATTTCTATATGTTTGTCTGGTAAAGGAGTAGTTCCAATGAAAACTGTTCATGGTGAGATTTATCCAGAGTAATGGCAACGCTGTCAATTTTTAATGTCATTTTTCAACAATAACTAAAGACAAGCCAGGCTTGATAGGACTGTACCTCCAGTGTCCACTGTTTCATGCTTCTTTCAGATTCAGTACCTGTGATGTTGGTATTGGATCACTATGTCTGCTCCTGATAGTTAGGCTGTCACTTGACAAAAACATGTTCAGTAGCTTTAAAGCTGCAGTAGGTAACTTTTATAAAAATAGCTTTCTGTCATATTCGCTGAAACTTTCACTATATCCTG